TGACACCCACCACACACACACACAAACAGACACATGTGAAATTCACGTGACTGTTCCAAAAATATGCGACACATGAATCTGTGGGTACTTGACCGAGTGTGCTGCTTGTGTGTTACGTAGTTCCTCTTCCTCCTCCTCGTCATCATCAAAAGGAAAAGTCAAGGGCTTCTGAGGCCTAGAGGTAATCGGATATGATACAGAAAAGATCGACTACGTAGTTGTATGTGTATGCCAATCGCACGCATCTTGTTCAGTAGATATCAATAGAACATGGGAATTCATCATGGTATTGATTAATATGAGTAATTGGATTTTACCACGAAAGTTTATACTAAGGCAGAGAGGCAGTATAGAGTTTACGCTTTGTTATCAAACGGTTCAATCTAATGAACGACAGAGATCATGCAACCTTTAGCAATAGGATATCCTCGGGTTAAGCAGAGCTGAATGCTACCGGGCGCGTTTCCTGGTTGTGGATAGGGGGATACCTTCACCGAAGAAGGTTAGCTGTGAATAATTTGTGGCATATCGCAACAAATAAGCAGTAGCGAACAAACGGCGGCGGCACTATCAGGGTGTGTTGGGTTTCAGGTTGATCACCTGACTCCTGTTTAAAAGCCACATAAGCCCAATGATAAAGGTCGATGTGACAGTCCTTTTAAAACTAAATTCAATGACCCCCTTATTTCCGAGACGAGAAATTACTTTCTGCTACCTTGCAGTTTGCACTTGGTTGTGCTCACGAAAGTGCATGGTTAATGGTTGTACAAACTGAGCTGTGCAAAGAACAGAGGTGCGCCCTCGAAATAAGAAACTCCGAGTCACGCCGGGGGCCTCTCTCGTACTAAACTCCCAAGGAACTTCATGATCATGTCTGGAACCGGTTTATCCTTTCCAAGGAGCCAGCCGCAGTAAAGTTAGTAGTCATTGTTTGGCCCTGAGAAACAGCGACCTAAGCCCCATAATTTGGAGAGCAGTAGAATCTAATGCACCTACAAAAGATGGAATCATAGTATTGATTCTTCAGTTAGCTGGTTCTGAAAGAGCTGTCTATCCAAAATTGCCTGATGTTGCAAATGAGGTTATCGTAACAAAAAGACACTTCCTGGGTACAATTATATAAATGAACTGACATTAGATTACCGGATACGCGTGCCTGGCGAGGGACGAGAACTGGGAAATCGAGCCTGTACTTCCAGGATAATGTTGTTCTGTCATTCATGTGCTATATATATATATATATATATATATATGGCTCCGGGGCTTGTATCGCTGTTTTTCGGAGCCATACATGATCTCCGCTGCTCCTCACGTAGTTGTTTGATAGAAAAAGCGTAAGCGTTTTACTTTGTTTGTTTAGATAGGAGATAACATTGGACCACGTGCTACAGTAAAGAAAAAGGTCACCATTGCTGAAACAATCACAACTTCCTACTCACCCGNCTCACCCGTGCTTTTCTGATTCTGACGGTTTACCTTCACCACTGTGCAGTGTTCTACACATGAAGCGAAACAAATGTAAACTGACACTTCAGAAATGACCCTATGCAAACTCTCGCCCCATTTTCTCCTCATGAACAAAAATTCGCCTCAGGATGCACTGTAATCTGATAGTACAAGTGTGCTATCTAGACCTTTGAACTTTTCGGTGTACTCGTGCACGTTGGACAATTTTACTCTCGCTACTGCGATTCGATGCGATTGACGTGGACCTAGCTATTGGCTAACGCCTTTGGCACGTCGTTGCTCGCCACACTTGGTTGCTGCTGCTGCAGCTGCTAGACACAAACAATGCTTTCACTCACCCCCAACACACACATTGACTCAGTCACACGTGGGTTACGTTTCACACATGTTTCAATCGATTCAAGGCTCCTGTCTCTCTCTCTCTCTATCCACAGTTCAGTTTGATCACGTGCATGTGTGTGTGTCAACTGTCTTATGACAATGGGGCTGCTCATTTGTGCACTGCGTCGATGAATAGTGAGTAGTGACAAACAGCAGGCACGGGCTCACTACAAAGCATGTCAATTCACACAGTCGGTTACCGTGACCAATAAACAGTGTGGTAATCTTGACTACTCCCATTCTGGAGATTTTTTTGAATTTTTATTACTCACTTTCATGTGATAAACAACAGACGGGGTAAACCCCATAGTCACGAGAACCTATTGTTAAGTAATGGAGACCGGTAACCTAAGCCCCGCGAGACTTGGAGTGGCGATAGGTTAGGGTGAACCAGACGACAGCAAAGCTATCTACCACTAAAGTTGGGTGGCGATGGCGGGGCTCAGACCATGGAGTCCAAAGCACGTCTGTGACAGCAACTAAACCACTGTGCCATCACACTGACAGCAGACGAAGCTTAGCAGGCTCGTGGATTTTTCTTTACCGACACTCTGTTGCGGTTTCTTGTTTTTTCATTGACATGCGTATCCCCCGGTATGTTTTTCCCAATCTGCTCGCCAACCCGGTCTTTTTTCGGATATTCTATTTGTTCTAGTTCGAATGGAAACTTATTTTCATCTCTATTCGCTGATTGACCATAGACTGTTGTGAACTGGTCTAGATTTAAACCACGATTATCCATCTGATGTCAGCTAGTCGTATTGAGTCTAACCGACAACCC